GCATACAGATAGTCCTTGACTTACAACAGTTCATTTAGTGACCGTTCAAAGTTACAACGGCACTGAAAAAAGTGACTCATGACTGCTTTTCACAATTATGACCATTGCAGCAACCCCATGGTCACATAATCAAAAATCAGATGCTTGGCAACTGATTCATATTTATGACAATCATTTGATCCCCTTTTGCGACCTTCTGACAAGCGAAGTCAAGGAAGTCTGTAAAATGGGGACAAAACTCATTTAACAAATGTCTCAGCAGCAAAAAATTTGGGCTCAATTGTGGTCGTAAGTTGAGGACTACCAGTACTAGGTAGGTAAAGAATGTTTATTTTATTTATTTAAATTATAATAAATCTTTTTGCTTGAGGATAAACTGCCAGCAAAGCAGATTAATTTTACACCTAATTTTATAAATGTGTACCTTCAGTAAAACAAGAAGTTTGATGAAGGGAAAAAAATGCCATGTTTCTAATGCATTTTGTAAAGGGGTTTGTCATTAAAGCACATTTGTATCCCTTGCATTTAGAGCAGTGTTTCTCAACCTTGGTCAGCCAGCTCTGCTGGCTGTGGGATTCTGGGACTTGAAGTCCACGCATCTTCAGGTGGGCCAAGGTTGAGAAGCACTGATTTAGAGGAATGCACATAATAAGCCATTTGCGAAAGCTAAACAGATCTTGTTTCTGAATTGAAGACTTGTCTGGGAACTTCCTAAATCCAGCTTGTCCACTAGGGGAAAAACAGGATAAATATAGATAGTTTTTCAGTAACCATTAACTGACTCCTTCCTTCCCATTTTCCACTGAACATTTTTTAGTGATTATTCAAGGAAGTGCCAGAAAGACAACATGTTTTAAACTGGAATGGTGATGTTTCCTTGAACAGCTTTGCTGGATAGAATCCAGAGCCAATATGGCCTCTTTGGGCACTACGAGATCCGAGGGCTTTATATTGTGGAGTTTGCAGTAATTTTTCAAAGCAGACAATTTCCCATGCGAGGGAGAGCCAGCCATTCGTTTAACAATCCTGCCGCCATAGCAACTTACTGTAAAGTAAAAGGATTGCATTAAAACCATGGGTTATCATTCGTGTTACAGGAAATGGAAATGAAAAGAGCAAACACTCTTCCCTACTGAGGAGGAGGAGGAAGAGAATGTCAGCTGAAGTTTACCTTGCCATGTTTGTCAAGACTACAAGAAATGGGACAGGGAGGAGGGAAGGAGAGAGAGAGGGATTCTCATTGCTCGCCCTGGTGAAAAGGAGAAAGGATGAGAGGATGAGGTAGAGATAACACTACAGATGCCATTAGAAAGCCAAACAGAAATTCACCTTCTCTCACAGCTGCCAAATGTCAAGTCTAGTTACGGACAAGACAGTAAAACACGCGATCAATAAAGGGAAACATTTTTGGATTGTAAATGAATACATGGGGACTTCTTGGAGCCCACGTTTCTCTCACCTAGGAGATAAACCATTTCTCTGAACTGCCCCATACCCTCCTAGTCTACCACTTTGGTGTCTTTTTGTAGCAGAAACAAGACCGAGGAAAGGTAAATTTGGATTCCAAGTCCCCCAAGTTCAACCCCCATCTCAAGTTAAGTCTTGGAAGTTTCACCTGCAGCCCTGATGAGATCTCAGAGTTGTCAAGTCTGCGCTGCATTTGGTCCATGCTCTTCTTCAACTCAGAAATCTCTTCTATTAATTGTAGAGAAGCATTTTCCAGTCTGAACATATACTGCTCTTCTTCTGTAGCCATTTCCATCAGAATCCTTCCTTCCTCCTCTCGTAGGATCTGATGAAGATGTTGAAATGCTGCTTGGATCTCTGACTTCAGTTTCCGAGATGTTTTCTGAGCAGAGGAAAAGATTACAAGAAATAGAAACACAATATATTCAACCACTACCTGTGTTTCAAAAGATATTACCTCTCCAAAAGTTTTGTGGGCAATGTATTATCGCTTTGTTAAGAGGAGAGCAAAGCACGCTTTTATTTTTAAAGCATTCAGCTACCTTTCTAGTGATCTGCACAGCCACAGGGTGGCAGCTGTATCTATGCTACAATTTAATCTGGAATTGTCCTGTCTCATTTTTACAGAGAATCCAGATGTTGCAGTTAATTCATCGCACCACAATTTCCCCAAGCTGTTCCTTGGTCTTCTTTCAAACAGACTTGAAGATTTTTCTCATTTAAAGGCAATTATGGTGCTATTCTTTTAGCATGGTCTGGCAGAACACTTACCGAGTCTTTTCAGAGCTACTGCAACTTGAATTTGAAACTTCTTTTTTGTGACTTATTTCTCTAATTGCTTCCTGTTCAGTGTAACTGCAAGATTACTTTGTTCCTTGATTGGTCTTTATGTGAACAGTTCCTTTCCCAAAAGGGAATAGTTATAATGACTTGACTCCCCTTGTTCATTTTCTCCTTCATTTTATTGAAAAATATTGCTATATTCTTACATAAAAAGTCCTAGCACAACAGGATATGATGCAAAATATCCATTTATACAGCAATTAATCAGTAATACTTTGCTAATAGCAAACAAGAGACAGAAGCTGAATGTATGGGTTTTTTCGAAACACCTGGAGGACGCCCAATTGAATTGGGCCTTTTCTGCTAAATACTCACAAAAGATTTGCCTTTCACTTTCATTTGAGTTTTTAAAAATTCATGTATTAAAAGTGCATACACATAAACTCTACCATTTTTGTAAGCTTGTGAGCATTTTGTCTTCCCCTTTCCAGTTTCCTACAAACATGGCAGTCCAATACAGTGAAGAAAGAAGTCTTGCCTAATTACATTAGGCAATGAGTGATGAGTTCCCCTCCCCTCTCGACCTGTGTGGTGTGTGATTCTTGGCTATTTTAATTACTTGAGTCCCTCCCGGAGAAGGGCGGCATACAAATAAAATAAATCTAAATCTAAATCTAAATTATCATTGACCTCCTCTCTCCCTGCGTTCAATGTCATTGTACACAAAATTATAAAAACAGATTACACGCTGCTTATATTCAGTACAGAGGTGGTATTCAGCAGGTTCTGACCAGTTCTGGAGAACCGGTAGCGGAAATTTTGAGTAGTCTGGAGAACCGGTAAATATCACCTCTGACTGGCCCTGCCCCCATCTATTCTCTGACTCCTGAGTCCCAACTGATCAGGAGGAAATTGGGATTTTACAGTATCCTTTCCCTGCCACACCCACCAAGCCATGGGGAGAGAATGGACATTTTATAGTATCCTTCCCTTGCCATGTCCGCCAAGCCACGCCTACCAAGTCATGGCCACAGACCCGCTAGTAAAAACTTTTGAATTGCACCACGGATTCAGGGGCACCAAAATAAGCCCCGATATTCATCTGTCTCGCATTATTTGATTTTTTTATTTCTTTCTAACACTTCTCTAGTATACATTGACTCTGAAGCTTTCTATAGTGAGTCTCAACGGACTCAAAATGATTAGAATTAATTTTGAATCCAAATTACTCCTTTTGAAGTGAACATTTGCTACTTAATGTTATTTCAAACTTGCAAGTCTTATTAAAGTAGATTACCAAAGCCTTTGAAAAATTGTCATCGTGTATTATATACATAAAATGAATGAAGAGCTAACAGAATGATTAAAGAAGCTTTCATGAACTTAAATCTAATGCTTCTGAGATCTACTTGCTTCTAACCTTTACCCTGGATTTTTTTTTGTTGAAGGTGGATTAGATGTACTATTTTCTCTGATGAACTGGAAGACTGTTATTACTTATCATGTTCCTTCACCTTGATGAGACTTTAAGGATAAATCATAGGCTTTCATCCTTAAAAAGCCCATTTAATGATTACTGTGGTTGTTCAGAAGCTGCATAATATTTAATATTATTTCTGACAAGACGCCAAGGAGAAAACTAAGATGATTTAGCAAATATATCTCACGCACGCAGAATATGCTTGTTTGTATTCCTTGATTGTTAAAAAAAAACCTTAATAAAATGTTGGAGTCAAATCTCAATCCAGAAAGGGCATTTTCAAATGATGTACAGTTTAATATTCTAATAAATGATATATCATAATGAAGCCCATGAAAAAAGCACAGAGTTCTTTCATTTTAATTTTTAAATTATCAGTGATTGCTGTATTATCAAGGCAGCCAATGTAGCACAGTCATTAAGATCCAAGTTCAAGTCTCATTCAGTCACAGAATTCACAATTCCTAGCCAGTCATCAGTCACGTGATTGTGCTACAGATAAAATGGACACCCTGCATATCTTGGTAGAGAAGAAACCACAGGATAGAGATATCATAATAAACAAAAAGCAAGCCAACCAATATTTAACATTCTGAGTAATTAAACAAGAATACCCTCTCCCAACGGCTAACCTAGTTTTCTTGAGGGTAGGGCATAAACAATTTGAGAAAGTTCATACAAACCAAAGATTCATGCAAACCAAGGCTTCTTCACCAAGCTCAAGTTTAGGACTTTTTGTTGGCAAGAACCAGCATTTTTAACTGGACTTAAAACACAACCAATGGCAATGCTGTTAAAAAGGTAGAGCAACGTGATCAGCAAAATCACATGTAGAAAGAACCATTCCTTAACCACAAAATCCAAATGTTCTACATTTTAGTGGTTTCAAAGATGGAGAAAGTGGAAAAATATGTCTTCTCTGGTAAAGGGCATACTAGTAGAGTGTATACAATAACCTCCTGACCACAGTAGCCTCATAACTGTCCCGGATGAATGCTAAAGCATGCCAAGCTATAAACATGATTCTTCAAAAGGTGTCATGATCTACTCCCATTAGGTTTAATCCATGTTGTTGTGAGCCTATTTTTTTTTAAAGTTTAAGTTTACTTTATTGTCATTGCACCTCATACAATGAAATTAAATGTCATTTCTAATTTATATCTGATGTATCACTGCATCTAGACTCCAGTAAAGGACCTGAATAATCTCCTTGAGTCCAGCTGACCAAGAAGGGAAAAGTTGGATATCATCAAACATGATGTTTTTTCATGGCTTTGTGTGGGTATGATAAAAGCATAGGGAACATAACAGATCTCTGACAATCCCTGATGTTAAGAAGCAGCCTTCTCCCTAGTCATTAATAAAGTCCAACTCCATGGATTGGATGCATCTCCTCTAATTCTGATGACCACAACTACACACTGAAGAATTCGTAGTAAGGGATTACCCCTGCATAAGTGATTATGTTTTTTTTTCTTCATGGATATGCTATCCATGGAGATAATTACTTAGGGTTAAGTGTTACTTGATCCTTATTTTGCATTCATTCTTCCTGCAATATAAAGAAACCAGAACATTTACATATACAGGAGAAAAGAATAAACCATCTTTCTGAATTAGTATAACTTGTTTTCTTGGAAAACCCAGGTTTTCAGCCTGGAATTCTAAACATCCCTGACAATGGCTGCAGATAAAACTGTTACATGACGTCCACTTGGGTGCTGAAAAGTTAAGAGCATAACGTACACTGCAAAAATAATAAAAGCTTGAATAATAGAGTACATGTAGTCCTTGACTTATAGCAATTCATTTAGTTACACCACCACTATTTTTCACGCTCATGACCATTGCAGCATCTCCATGGTCACATGATTTACATTTGGATGCTTGACAACTGATGATTGAAGTGTCCCAGAGTCATATGATCATCTTTTGCAAATGTCTGGCAAGCAAAGTCAATGGGGAAGCCACATTCACTTAACGGTGTTATTAATTTAGCAACTACAATGATTCACTTAACAAACGTGGGGAAAAAAGTCGTAAAATGGGGCAAAATTCACTTAATGAATTTCTAAGTTAGCAACATAAATTTGGGGCTTAATGATAGTCGTTAAGTCAAGGACTACCTGAATACCTGCTTGTTTAAGGAGAAAATGCTATCTATGAAAGTGTGCAACACCATTAAATATGATGATTGTAACACATAGGTTCTTAGATATTGTCAGGCCTGTTAGTTAACTCTTTGCCCACATTTCCCATACCTTCTGATCAAGAGGCAAGGCTCTAGTGATATAAAATTGACAGCAACTGAGCGATCCCTCCTTTTTCCCCGCCTCTCCTTTTGCTCATGGAATCCCATCAAGTTTTTGAGGAGCCCTGTGGTTCAGCAGAAACCCCGATCTAACCCACAAAAAGATTAGATCAGGGTTTCCCAAAATGATTGATATCGACCTCCAAGAACCAATGGGACCATCCAAGAGGTTGATATTATATTTGTAAAACTAGTAATTAAAGTCATGTTTATTAAACTATTTTCAAATAATTAAATTTGGGGGGGGGGGTCAATGAGCTAGCAAATGTTTTAAGTTAGGGTCTGGATTAGACACTAAAATATGGTCTTTTAAGCCACGGAAAAACTACTTCCCAAGATAGTCCCAGTTGCTGAGTGGTTCAGCAAATATTCAGCTTGCCAAGACGACCAACATGGTCAATACTACTTTGGTGACATATTTTACTTCTCTAAATAGGGCAGTCTTTTTGGAAAAATTAACGGAATGCTCTTTCCCTGAGCCAACTCTTAAAAACTAAATCATCATCATCATGAAAGAAAAACACCACCAAAAATCTATTTGTGTCCATCACTCTTAAAGTGTTAATTCTGCATACAAATGTGAAAGCATTTATTAAACCCAGTTAAGTCCACTCATTGACACAATCCCATATTTTTCAACCCATGGCCTTCCAGTCATCCTGCCAGTGAATTCAAGAAACCCTCACAAATCTATGATGTCTCTCTGAATAAACACATTTTTTGTTTCTCTTCTATTGTATACAGTACAACTGAAAATAGCTGCCCATTGTCAGCCCACAACATATTGTGGCAGGAACAATATGTTATGAAACATGGCAGTAGCAATGGCAATTACATACTGCTCCACACTGCTTTAAAGTTTACAGAGTCACCATATTTCCCTCAATAATCTGGGTTCTCATTTTAATTACCTTGGGAGGATGGAAGCCTGAGTCAATCTTGAGCCAGTCAGGATCGAACTCCTGGCAGTGAGTGAAATCAGCCTGCAATACTGCATTTTAACTACTGCATCACCATGGCTCTACCGTTCCCCCCCGCCCCCAACATGTTATGTGTAATTATGTGCACATAATTACTTTAGGGAGATTTGAGAAAGTTTGCTCTTCTTTTATCACGGTATTATTTATAACACCATTATCTCCCGGAGTCCTTCAGGAGTGGGCGGCATACAAAACCAATAAACTCAATCAATAAACTCAATCTCAGTGTTTGTTTTAGAGGCATTTCTTTGGCAAATGCATTTCAACAGTACAATATTATTTTTCTTTTAAGATGCCATCATAATCAAACGTCTGTGTTGTTTCATATGCTATAGTTCAAAACTTTGACATGGAAGAGCCTTCTTCTTTGATCTTATTTTTGGTTATTTATTTAGGAGAAATTTTGCTGGTTTTCTTCACAGAAATCACTCTGTGAAATATGACTTCTAAGCCTCACGGCACAAAGCAGAAAAAAAGATTGGCTTAATGGCGTTAAGCTCTTTTTCCATCTGCATACTCTCCCCAGTAATTCCCCCTTAGTCAGTGCAAAATCTACAATTAGAGGTATTAATCTTCTATTCTGCTGAGAGGCCTCAGCAGTTCATTGATTATCCGGGCAGATGATTAGTTTGCCTTGTGACAACCCAGAAGAAACTGTTCTTTACTGACTGCTTTATCTTGTTTTTGCCTGAAGTTTAAGAATAGTGTTAGGAGGAGAAAGTCACACAACCCAAGGAGTCCCAGCTTTGGTCCTGTCGATTAGACTGTGGGTAGTTTTTCCTCTTCCTTTTATATATTTTCTGCAATTAAGATTGTCTTGACTGTTCTATTTCAGTGCTTTCTGGACAAAATGCCCCACTTCTTCTAAACCCCAAACGTCCCACCCCTGACATCATCTCTAGCATCTTAGCCATTTGCTTCGGACCCTAAACCAGTAATATTACCACCAAGCACTCCTTATTTTCCTCATTCCTTCGCTTCATCTCCAGCAGTTTCTCGCGTTTCCTCTGGTAGACCTGAAGGACCTTTTGGAGCTCCATCTGAAAGTGAATGAATGAATAAGTAAAGCATTTATTTATTGGAATAACTTCCGAATATTAATTGTGGAGTCAGCATAATAAAGTTTTGCAGTTTCATCAAGATTTTTTTTCCAGCCTCGCCTGTCCCATGAACTAACTAACTCAAATAGCATCTGAACCTCTCTTGATCGTCCTTAGCGAAAGGATGATATGAAAATAGTGCCATGATGTTTTCTCCTCTTTATGCAATTTTTTCCAATCACTAACCTTTCCAAAAGCTTGCAAAGGTTGGAAGAAATGATAAAACATGTACAGTGACATTGTGATACAAACCTTGCAACCTTCCTCCTTGCATCCAATGCCAGGACACAAGTATGAAAAGGGCAAGATATAAATATGAAAGCTCCCACTTATGGTGACAATGGATGTACTGTATTTTTTGGAGTATAAGACGCACCGGAGTATAGCACGCACCAAGGTTTTGAAGAGGCAATTTTTAAAAAAAAGTAGGTAAGAAGGTAGAGGGATAGAGAGGGAGAGAAAGAGAGAGAAATACAGTAGGGAGGGAGGGAGGGAGGGAGAAAGGGAGTGTAATTAGGTAGGTAGATAAAGGGATAGAGAGAGGGAGAGAGAAATAGATATAGAAATAGAGAAATACAATAGGTAGGTAGGGAGAGAGAGTGTGTGTAGATAGGTAGGTAGGTAGGTACGTAGAGGGATAGAGAGAAATAGAAAGAGAGAGAAATACAGTAGATAGGTAGGGAGAGAGAGAGAGTAGGTAGGTTGGTAGTTAGAGAGATAGAGAAATAGAGAGGGAGAGAAATACAGTAGATAGATAGGAAGAGAGAGAGTAGGTAGGTTGGTAAGTAGAGGGATAGAGAGTAGGTAGGTACGTAGGTAGGTGGGGGGGGAGGAAGGTAGGTAGGTAGGTAGATGTTTCCAGGTGTATTTATCCATGTGCTGGAGAAGGAAATCGCTGACAATCTACAGCACCTAAGACTTTGTTTTTGCTGGCACGGCACTTGATCAATGTAATTCTCATCAATTAACGAGCTTTCCAAAAGGAAAAAAAAAAGGTTTTGCAGTCTGCAAACCTCCCATGAATAGCCCGGGGGGGGGGGGAGACTTTCAGAGTGCTCCTGAGAGGGGGCGCCCCCCCCAAAACGAGCAAAAACGGACCATTTTTTGTCAAAAAACTTGCATGCATAGCCTTATGAAGGCTATAGAGTGCTGTTGAGTGGGGGGTGGCAAAAAAGGCCCATTTTTTGCTCATTTCTGCCCTCCCCAGCCCCCAGGAGTTCTCGCAGATTTTCTGCCTCTTTTTTGAGGAAAAAAGGTGCGTCTTATTCTCCGAAAAATATGGTAAATGTGTAAATGTGTAAGTTCCAGAGCTGGCATTGTGCCTATGAGCCTCTCTTTACTTATTTTACCACTGTTCCCTAAACAGTAATTATTATAAGCATAATAAGACTTCTTTCTCTCTCTCTCTTTCTCTGCCCACCCTACCTATGAGCTAAAGGACTATGCCTAGAAGGCTTTCAGACAAAATGTTGGCTGTGCTCTCATGTGCAGAATTGAACAAAGGTTTCCAATATTGTTTTCTTTCACTTGTGATCTCTTCTTCCAACTTTTTTCTTATGTTTAAAAAAAAACAGTTAGAGAAATGGACTATTTTTTCACTGGCAGCCATTTCCTGACTATAAGAAAACATCCTTACAAATCAATCTTGGTCAATCAGTTGGGAATTCAGATCTCTGAAACGTAAGGATCTTAGTCTCAATCTTTTCCTCAGGAATTTTCTTCCTAACCTCTGCTTGTCCTAATGGCAGCTAAGGATGCTAGACAAATTCTTATTTTTCAGTATTGTGCTGCAAAGAACAGCACTGCAAGAGGATGAGAAGGAAATTAAGCAAAGGATTAAAACTTCAAAGAAGTTAAAGATAGGATTAGAGCAAAATGCAATGGAGAGGGAAGAGATAATCTTCTCTCTCAGCTCACTTCACCTCACAGGGTGATTGCTGTGTGGAAAATAGAAGGAGAAAGGACTATTTGGTATGTTCCCTGCCCTGGATTATTTATGAAAATAATAAAGGTGCGATTTATTTAAAAAATATTTAAAAATGGTAAAGATACCAACAGTTGCCAAAGTAAATCGAAAAGAGCTTGGAGAGGATAGAATTAAAACCAAGATATAAAATATCTTGATCCAAAAACTGAAGAAGCTTCTTGGATGAGAAGCTAAAAGTCTTCAAAGAAAAATCAGAAAGTCCAGTTGCCTCTTGAAAAAAGCACCTTTGGATCGTGATCCAAAAGTTATGACTTTTTCTTCAGCAACTTCATGGTTAAGTATTCGCTGAAAGATATTAGGCATGTGTGCACACCATGGAAAATTAAACTTCTTCAGAAATGTGTGGTATGTCCACATACAATGTTTGATAACACCCACCTTCATGATTCCATCTGTAATGGATGTATCTTTCCTTTTATGTGAATAGAACTGGCTTGTCTTCTCCAAGCCAACCAAAATCAGAAGCCATGGAAACCAAGAACAATCCATGATGAGTTTGTAAAAGAGAAGAAACCACAGTTCCTGTTTTATTCACTGTGATTTAGATAGATAAACCATAAATGGAACTAATCAAGTTTATTAATCATGTCTGTAAGAGGCATATTGGCTTAATTCAGGTTTTTTGGGGTGTCTTTGAATCATTGTTGATTCCTGTGAGTGCCTCAATTA